GGGGGGAGCTCGCGCACCCAGGTGGAGATGATCCGCCGCGCGGCCGCGGAGAACGTCCGCGCGGCTCGCGCCAAGCTCGACGAGGCCGTCGCGCGGCGCGGGCCCGCCGCCGAGGCGCCCGCCGCCGAGGAGCCCGCCGCGCCCGCCGAGGAGCCGCCGCCCGCAGTCGTCGACGTCGGCGGCTTCTCCGTCGCGGACGACGACGCGCCAGTTCTGAGGGCTGTCAATAGCTCGTGCCTGATCGATTTGGCGGGGTAAAATAGTGGCAAATACGAGCCGGTCCCGACGATGACCTTGGGCGATGGCCGAGGCGACGATCGATGGTGCCGGGCGATCCCCGCGACGGGGCGTCGCCGCCGGGGGCTCCGGCCGCGCCCGCGACGCCGCCGGTGCGCGTCCGATCGCGACTGGCGCGGCGGCGTCCGCCCCCGCCAGAACACCCTTACTCGCGCGCGCTCAGTCGACCTTGATGGCGGCGTAGATCTGGAGGTTAAACCAGAGCGCGGCGAAGAAGCCGATGGCGCCGCAGAGGAGGAAGAACGTGAACGACGCGAGCGCCATGTAGCCGAAGTAGACGAGGCTCGGCAGGCCGCCGGAGATGTCGAGCTTCGCGTCGAAGTACCAGACGGAGTAGAGGAAGAGGCAGGCCGCGGCGGAGCCCGAGCAGAGGAAGGAGCGCCACCACCAGCGGTAGTCCTCGTTGCGGAGCTGGAAGTACGCGAGGACGATGGCCATCTCCGCGCACGTCGCCGTGAGGATGAGGAGCACGGCGACGAGGAAGCCGAAGACGTAGTAGATCTGGTGGAGCCAGAGCGCGGACATGATGAAGAAGAGCTCGATGCAGACCGCGCCGAAGGGCAGCACGCCGCCGAAGGCGACGGCGAAGACCGCGTGGCTGTACCACTTCTGCGGCGGGACGACGCGCGGGATCTGCTTCGTCTTCGTCGTGCAGCCTGCGCCAGGGCTGCGGGCGACCCGGGGATCTCGAGATCTCGAGCTCCGGAGATCTCCGCCGACGCCGCGGCCGCCGCGCGCCGCGACCCCCCGAGAGACACCCGCACATACGTATACCTTCACCGCTTCCGCTTGGCCGCGGCCGGCGCCTTGGCCTTCTTCCTCGGCGCCTTGGCCTTCTTCGCCTTCTTGCTGCCCTGGGCGTTGAGCTGGGCCTCCCGGTTCGCCGCGGAGAACGTGCGGTGGGGCGCGAGCTTCTCCGTGTCGCGCGGGAGCCGGAAGACCTCGTCGAACTTCTTGTGCCAGCCCATGAAGTGGAGGCCCACGTCGACGGCGTCGCCCGCCCGTGTCAGCGAGACGACGCGCGCGTCGAACCAGACGCCCGTCTTCGCGCAGCGCGCGTCGACCTTGGCGCCCGCGACGAGCGCGTCGACGTCGAGCGTCGAGCACTCGAAGACCATGTCGTCCTCGCCCCACGTCGGCTCGGGGAAGTCGCAGCGCGCCTCCGCCGCCGGCGCGCCCCACTTGACCTGGTCCGCGCAGAAGAAGGGCTCGTCGCCGGCGTCGTCGAAATCCGCGTGCCAAGGCACGAGGCGCCACTTCTCGCAGGCGTCGCAGGCGACCCAGCGGCTCGGCGGCCGGTCGGGCATCGCCTCGGCCAGCGCGTCGACGGCGCCGTCGCCGTTCGAGGACCGGCGCGACGCGGGCGACGCCGACGCGGACACGGCGGGCGCGGCGGCGCCGAGGAGCTCGGCGACGCACGCGTCGACGGACGCGAAGTTCGACTCGAGCGCGCCGTCGAGCGCGGGGCTCCCGAAGCGCCGGGGCTCCCGGGGGGCGCCGTCCGGGAAGAAGAGGGCCGCGAGGTCCGCGGGCCAGGGCCGCGCGCGGCGGATCGGGTCCCGGAGCAGCTCGCCCAGCTTGCCTGTGCCGAAACCAAATCTTCAACCCGACTTCAATGTGCGCGTATTCGAATGTTTTGACACAAGCTCTTCGGCTGGGCTTCGAGAACTCGACGAGAGCGATCGATCCGTCCAAAAATCAGCCGAATCGACTTCGATTTGACCGAGCTAGAGAATTCTCAAGTTTGGTCAGGACCACCCAAACCAGTGGTTGGTTTCGGCACAGCAGCTCGCGCCGCGCGGCCGCGTCGTAGCGCGGCGCGTCCGGCGGCGGCGACGCCGGCCGCTTCCTCTTCTCGTCCGGCGGCGGCGCGCGGGCCGCCGCGCGGAGGATCGCCGCGGCGTCGGGGCAGAGGCCGCAGCCCCTCAGGTTGTCGAAGGCGAGGCCGCCGTCGCCGAGCGCCGGCTCCGCGAGCGCGTCGAGGTCGTGCCAGCAGAGCAGCGCCTCGACCTCCGCGAAAGGGCCGTAGGTCCGCGCGGGCGCCAGCACGACGTCGTCGTCGCGGAGCCGGTCGCAGGCGCGGTACTGGGGCGCCGCCGTGTCGCCGTGCCGGAGGTTCCCGACCTCCTTCTTCTTCACGTCCACGGGCGCGGCCGCGACAGCCGGCCGCTCCGCGACGCGGACGAACGTCGCCGTCGACGCCGTCAGGAGGATGGCGTCGGCGGCGCAGGCCGCGGCCTCCCGCGCCGACGGCCGCGCCGCCGGCGCCTGCTTCCGCGCCTTCTTGGCGGGCTTCTTCGCGCACGGCGGGCACGCCGCCGGCTTCTCCAGGGCCGCGTACGCGAGCAGGCGCCGCCGGATCGCGAGGAGCGCCGCCTTGGCCTCCTGGCGCGTCGACGGGTCGCCGTCGACGGCGACGCAGGCCCGCAGCTCGGCGTCCGCGCAGTCCGCGCCAAAGGCCGCGAGGTCGCGGAGCGACGAAAGCAGCGCGTCGGCCGTGCCCGCGGCCCCCAGGACCTCGAGGGGCGGCGCGTTGGCGCCGTAGGCCACGCCCCGCAGGTCGCAGACGCGCCGGGCGACGGACACGGCGCAGGCGAGCGCCTGGACGCGCTGCTCGAGGACCAGCCGGGCCCGCGACGCGGCCGTCTTCTTCGCCGCGCTCGCGAAGTCCTTCTCCATGCGCAGGAGCGCGTAGGGCAGCTGGCCCCGCTCGAACTCGAGGAAGCCGACGAGCTCGCCGACGTAGCGGTCGAGCCAGGCCGCGCGCGCGTCGCCGGCCTTCTCGAAGAACGCGTCGCGGAAGCCGTGGCGCGCGAGCGCGGCCGCGGCGGCCGCGTCGTTCTTCGCGCTCGGCAGGCAGGACCGCAGGAGCATGGCGAAGGCGTCGAGGGGCCCGTGGGCCCGCCGGAGGCACTGCTGGAGCTCGTCCGCGCAGACGAGCTCGACGAAGGACCCGCGGCACGCCGGGCTCCCGCAGAGGCAGACCGCGTCGCGCCACTCGCGCTCGCTCGACGTGCAGGCGCTGTAGTCGAAGCAGAGCTCCTCGCCCGCGCGCACGGGCCGCGACGTGTGCAGCGCGACGGACAGCGCGCCGCCGGGCTTCGCGAAGACCGACGACTGCAGGTTGCCGTCGCAGGAGTGGGAGCACGACGACGCCCAGTTCGCCTTGTCGCCGCCGGCGTCGACGAAGTACAACCCGTAGCCCCGCGGGTCCGCCTGGGGCCGCTCGAGCGCGATGTTGTGGAACGCCTCGGGCGCCGGGTGCCTGCGTGGAAACCGAATCTTCAACCCGACTTCAACGTGCGCGTATGCGACCGTTTCGACGCAAGCTCTTTGGCCGTGCTTCGAGAACTCGAGAAGAGCAGTCGATTCGTCCAAAAACCAGCCAGATCGACTTCGATTTGACCGAGCTAGAGAGGTTTGAAGTTTGGTCGGGACCACCCGAACCAGTGGTCGGTTTCCACGCAGCCGGGTGCGCGTCCGCCGCCGCGCGGCCCAACACCTCGCGGCGGCACGACGTCACCGCCGCGAGCTTCTCGAGCCAGCGGTAGGGCGGGTAGACCTCGCCGAGGTAGTCGCAGACGTACTCGTGCGCGCGGAGCCCGCCGGGCCGCGTGACGACTACTCCCGTGCCCTTGGCGCGCGCGCGGAACGGCCCGTCGCTCCCGAGCCACCGGGCGAAGCCGACGACGGCGGCGCAGGCGAAGCGCAGGGCCGGGTCCTCCGCCGCGTCGCCGCAGGCGACGGCCGCCGCCGTGAGCGTCGCGGGCGCGGGCTTCTCCGAGTTCGCCGCGAGCCGGCGCAGCGCGGGGATCAAGGAATCGTTCGCGAGGCGGCCCGCGTCGCCGGGGACGCCGCAAAACTCGCAGGCGAGCTCGACGGCGCGCCGCGCGTAGCAGTCCAGGCCGACCGCGGCGACCTCGTCGACGGCGCGGCCGGGGCCGCACGCCAGGGGCTCGAACGTCGGGTTCATAGCGGCGGCCTCGGCCGCGCACGCGCGCCGCGCGGTCTCCGCGGCCACGGCGTCGACGACGGACGCGACGACGAGCGCGTCCTGGTCCACGTCGCCGTCGGCGACGTACTCCTTGCGCCACGCGTCGCCGATGGAATCGTCGTCGACGGCGTAGGGGCTCACGACGACGCCCGGCGGCACGTTTTGGACGGCGAGCGCCGCGCGGACGCTGGCCGCCTGCGCGGCGTCGGCGCCGGGGAAGGCCGCGTAGCCGCCCGCGAGGAACTCGTAGTCGCGGTCGCGGCCGCGGTCCTTGGACAGCGTCGGCCGGTAGGGCCACGGGCACAGCGGGTCGCGGTTCCGCGCCATGCAGGCCTCGGCGATGCGCTTCATGGCGACCGTGCCCGCCTCGAAGCAGCACCGCTCGGCGTACCCGTCGACGACGGCGAGGGCCGCGTCCGCCGCGGCGCCGTCGCGCGCGAGCGCGGCGGCGAGCGCCGCGCGCGCGGCGGCCCAGTCGAGGTCGCCGCAGGCCGCGCCGGCGGCGACGCGGTCCTCGTCGCCGATGGCGCCGCCGATCGTCGGCGCGGCGCAGCGCCGCGCGGCCTCGCCCGCCGCGTAGGCCCGCGCGGCGGCCGCGGCGGTTTCGGGAGGCCGCGCGAACGCGCCGTGCCGGGCCAGGGCCTCGACCTCCGCGACGCACCGGACGTCGGGCTTCTTGGCCCGGAGCAGGCGCTGCAGGGCGTCGCCGGTCCGCGGCGCCTGCGCGACGGCGGCGAGGGCCGGGAAGCGCTGGGAGACGACGTCCAAGGCCTTGAGGAGCACGGACGTGTCGTCGGCGCCGACGAGCACGACGCCCTCGGGACGCGGCTCGCGCTTCGGCCGCTTGCGCTGCTGCGGCGGTGGTTCAAGCTCGTTGGCTGGACTAGGCGCCGGGAGCTGGGCGGCGCCCGCGCAGCCGTCGTTTGCGGAGGAGTCCATTGCTGCTCGATTTCAAAACCTAGGTTCATCAAGTCCTCAACGAGGCCTTGCGCGACACGCCTCGCGAAGGACGTCGTCTTACGTACGCCCCTCCCTAGAGCCCGAAGCAGGCGTCGAAGAGGCGCTCCCGGTTGCCGGAGCTGCCCGGCGCCGGCAGGAAGAGGTGGCGCGCGCCGCCGTTGATCGTCGCGAGGTCGTCGTAGTCGTCGCGGCGCGCGTCGCCCTTGGACGACGCGAAGGCGAGGACGTCGTGGAGGACGACGTCGGGCACGCGGCCCAGGGCCGCGCCCGTCGACCGCCCGCGGACCGCCGCGGCGAGGAGCGTCTCGACGCGGGCCTGGAAGTCGGGCTTGAAGAACTGGTGGCGCTCGGGCCGCCAGATCTGCGCGAAGCGCCGGAAGGACACGCCCGCGTAGACGACGCGCTCGTAGGCGTTGTAGTCGAGCGCGGGCAGCCGCGGCGCGTCGGCCGGGCAGTAGACGAAGTCCAAGCGGTCGAGGCAGCGCGCGCGTTTCGCGCGGTTGATGAACTCCGTGTAGGTGGGCCGCGGCAGCGGCAGGAGCTTGTTCTTGCGGGGGTCGCCGCTGTAGACGCCGCCGTCGCGCATGGCGCAGTAGTCGCGGGCCGTGAAGTCGAAGTCCTCGCGGTTCGAGCGCTTCGCGGCCTTGACGCGTTCGCCGTCGTCCGTCAGCGCGGAGTCGCCGCCCGTGCCGTAGGTCTTGCCGTTGGCGTGGACGACGAGCAGGCGCCCGACGAGGGGCCGCGACGGCGGCGCCGGGGTTTCGTCGCGCGCGTCGCTGCTGGGCTTGGGCTTGTTGTAGTCCGGCGCCGTGCAGGCGCGGCGCGGCCGCTTCCGGCCGGGCTCCTCGGGCGTGGGTCGGCTGCGTTCGGCTTCCACCTTTTCGAGGGCGTCGGTGGCGAGCTTCGCGATGTGCTTGATCGACGTGTCCATGCTAGCTTTTTGAACGCGAGCTACCAGCTCATACGCCGAGCCAAAGCTAGCTTTTTGAACGCGAGCTCCAGCTCATACGCCGAGCCAAAGCCCTCTTGAAACTAAGACCGTGTTGCCTTCATCTTGCCTTCTGCAACGCGGCGATGTTGACGTCGAAGAAGGCAGACTATTTCGAGCCCGTCAGCATGGATGAAGCAGCCGGGCAGCCCGCCGTGCTCGTCCGGCGACGCGCCCTCATCCCCTTTTTTGCCGCCGCGCTGTCCGTCGCTGGCGTCTTCGCCCTGACGGCGCGCAGGAGGGACCCGGTCGCGACGGAGACCAACTTGAGCTCTCTTTATCATTGCAAGAACGGCGACCCGGGCGTCGCGACGCGCTACGAGAACGGCGAGTGGGGCACGGTGACGGGCGACTGGTACATTCTCGCTCAAACGACGGACGCCGGGACCTACGACTGCGGCAGGATGATCTTCGGCCTCCGGGGCAGCGACGACCTCATCCTCCGGCAGGAGATGCTCTACGTCGGCACGTCGGACGACGACGACCACGACTTCTTCACGTCCGGCACGGACTACTGGTTCAACGTCACAGAAAAACAGGTGAAGCGCAAGGTCCCGGGCAAGTGGGAGCGGACCGCGGACGACAACGACGGCTGGAGTTCCGTGCCGCTCGTGGGCACCTACAAGGGGAGCAAGTGGTTCGCCTGGTACACCTGCGGGCCCGACGCCGCGTCCATGAAGCGCGGCTACGCCTACGTGCTCAAGGACTCGAAGGACGCGGACGACGCGTTCTACAAGGAGGTCAAGAAGAAGCTCAAGAAGCTCGGCCTCTTCGACTACTCGTCCGGGTTCACCAAGTACCCCCAGTCCGACGACTGCGACTATACGTGGCCGACGGCCGGGCTGAGGTAACTCGTGCGCTGAACGTTGCAAGTTGAGGTTCAACTTGAGACTGAACAGAACGATGGCTTCCTCGATGGTTAACTCGATGGGCGCTGCGGCAGCCTAGCCGGCGTTCCCGATGGGCGCCTGCTCGTCGTCGAAGGTCGCCGTCGGCCCCGCGTCGCCGGCGCAGATGAAGCGGCAGGACACGGCGCACGCGCTCGTCGCGGCGGCGGAGCTCGGCGCCGGGGCCGCGGCCAGCTCCGTCGTCGGCGGCGTCGTCTCCCAGAGCGTCGCCGGCGCCGCGGGCGAAGCGTTGCTGGGCGTCGCCAAGGAGCTGCCCTGGATCGCGCCCGTCGCGTTTCTCATCGGGTCCGTCGTCCAGGCGGCCCACGACGCCAGGAGCCTCAAGGCGGACGCGCGGGCCTTCGTGCGCGTCGTGCGCTCCGTCGAGGGCGTGCTCGAGCAGGCCGCCGTAGACGGCAAGCTCGCGGGCGCCGCCGCGCCGTGCGCGCTCATCAAGGAGGCCCTGGAGGCGGGCCTCGCGCACGTGCAGAAGCTGGAGACGCAGAGCGTCTGCGTCGCCATGCTCCTCAGCGGCCGCGACGGCGAAACCTTCGCGGAACTGCAGGACCAGCTCCACCGCGCCTGCGACCTGCTGGCCCTGGCCTGCGCGGCGGACACGGCGCTGCTCGTCAGGGAGTCCTACGACCAGGAGACGCGGCTCGCGGAGGACGTCGAGGCGGCCGGCGGCGCCGCGGCCGTCGCGCGCGACCCGGCGCTGCGGGCGAAAATCGCGGCGTCGCTGTCGGCGGCGGACCGGGTCATCGTCGCCACGGTCGCGCACGAGGTCGAGGCGTCGCGGCACGCGCTCGAAGCGAAGCTGGAGGCGAAGTTCGCCGCCGACGCCGCGGAGCGCGAAAAGCGGCACGAGACCATGCTCCGCCAGCTGTCGACGCTGACGCACGTCGTGGGCGCCATCGCGCGCATGCGCGCGGGCGGCGACGATGAGAAACGAGCGGCGATGGACGGCGCGGCCGTCGCCCGGGAGGTGCAGGAGAAGATGCCGCTGCCGGCGGCCGAGCCCGCGCGGCTTCGGGCGCTCGACAAGACGCAGCTCGAGGCCCTCGTCGGCGACGGCGACCTCCGCGACCTGGTCAACGAGGCGCGGGAGGTCCACGAGGCCGACGTGTCGTGGATCGGCACCGTGGGCCTCGAGGACCAGACGTACCTCGCGACGGACCTCAAGGGCGCGGCGCCGGGCGCGCTCGACGGCGTCGTCGTGCCCCGGCCGCTGAGCCAGTGCCAGCACGTCGTCGCCTCCGGGCAGGCGCGGACGTCCATGGTCGCGACGTCGCCGGACGTCTTCGCCATGGCCGGGCCCGAGGTCGCGGCGGCGGCCGAGGCGGGCCACGCGGGCGTCGCGCGGTTTTTAGAAACGACGGGGGCGGCCATGGACCCGGCGACGGCCGCGGACGCGCGGCTCAAGCACGCCGCGCCGGGCGGCACCGCGACCGCGGGGCCCTACCGCACACTGGTGCAGCTCGCGACGGACGACGCCGTGCAGTACCGCGGCGTGCCCGTCCGGGTCCACGGCGAGGCGGTGTGCACGCTCTGCACCATGGGCAAGAAGACGGAGGACGTCTCGAAGCTCGAGTCGCTCGCGGCCCGGGCCGGGCAGCTGCTCGAGCGCAAGGCGGCCGCGCGGGCCGCCGCCGCGGAGGTCGTCGCCCCGGCCGCGCCCGTCGTCGTCCCGGTCGCGCCGGTCGTCGTCCCGGTCGCGCCGGAGCCCGCGGCCGCGCCGCGGCCCGCGCGGCCCCCGGCCGTCGCGCGGCCCGCGGCCCCCGCGGACGGCGACGTCGGCCGCTGGCTCGCAGCGCGGCGCCTCGGGGCCTTCGCCCCGGGCCTCGCGGCGCTCGGCGTCGAGACCGTCGAGGACCTCCACGACGCCACCGCGGAAGACGCGGCGGAGCTGGGCATGACGCGCGTCCAGTCGAACCGGCTCCGCCGCGAGGCCATCAAGAGCCTCGGGGCGTGCCCGGTCTGCGCGCGCTACGGGAGCGGCGGCTAATTTTGCTTCGAAGGGGGGTGCCGGGGGGGGACGCGTCGGGCGCGGCGCGACGAGGGCCTACTCGACGAGGCGTACGCCGGCGACGTCCTCGTTCGAGGCCTGCCTCGCGGTCGACCAGCTCTACTGCGCTCTACTGCGTACGCCGGCGCACGGCGGCGCGCGCGCAGGAGCCTGCTGCGCGCGGCCGCACTGTCTCGATGTCTCGCCGGGGCTTTTCCTCGTTCGAGGCCAGCCTCGCGGTCTACCAGCTCTAGCTCTACTGCGCCGCGGTCACCCGGTCCCTCGAGCGCAGCGGCGACCTCGCTCCGGTTCCGGGCGTCGGGCGGCTCGAGCGTCGCGCGCCGCCGCGCCGAAGATGGAGACGACCATCGGCCTCCTCGGGAACGGCTACGCCATCGTCTGCGCGGACCAGAACGCCGCGCGGTCCATCGTGTGCTTCAAAAAGGACGAGGACAAGATCATGAAGCTCGACGACTTCAAGCTCCTGGGCCAGAGCGGCGTCGGGGCGGACAACGTCGCCTTCACGGAGTACGTCCAGAAGAACGTCGCGCTTTACAAGATCAACAACGGGCTGAGCCTGTCGACGAAGGCGACGAACAACTTCATCCGGGGCGACCTCGCGACGGCGCTGCGCAAGGGGCCCTACCAGACGAACCTCCTGCTGGGCGGGTTCGACAAGGGCGTCGGCGCGTCCCTCTACTACATCGACTACATGGCGAGCTCGAACAAGGTCAACTTCGGCTGCCACGGCTACGGCTCCAACTTCGTGCTCTCGATCCTCGACCGCGAGTGGACCGAGGGCCTCGACGAGGCCGCGGGCCTCGACATCATCAACAAGTGCATCGCCGAGCTCCAGACGCGCTTCCTGATCCACATGCCCAAGTTCCTCATCAAGATCGTCGACAAGGACGGCATCCGCGTCCTCGAGCAGAACCCGCCGGTCCTGCTCCAGGGCCAGTAGGTGCCGCGGCGCCCGAATTTCGAACTCTAAGGGCGCTTTGTCTCGGTTTAAGCGCGCTTCGTCGTCCCGCGGCCTCGGCCCCAGCGGCCGCGCGCGGCGGACCGGCTTGCTCGCTCGGACGGTGCTCCGGGGATGGCGCGAACGGCGTCGGCCACCGCGGCCAGTGCTGCGTGCGCGCCCGGCCCCTCTTCGCGCGCAGCCGCCGTCGACGTCGCGACGTCGACCGACCCCCGGCGCCCGGCTGCTGAGGCGAGCTGCCGCAGGCCTGCCCGAGCTGCGTCGAGCGGCTCGTCGCGCCGTCGAGCGTCCCGCGGCTCGTCGCGCGTCGTCGCGCGCGCCGCCCGCGGCCCGCCGCGCACCATGGGCGTCCCCCAGCCCGTGGTCCACGGCACGACGATCTACATCTCCATCGTCCTCGCCTTTTCCATTATGACGCTCTTCGCGCGCTGCCTCGGCGTCTGCAAGAAGGACAACGCGCAGATCGCGCTCGTCCTCTACCCGCTCATGGGCTTCTGCGCCTGGCTGCTCTGGTGCGTCATCGCGCGTCTCTTTTCCCTTCGCGCGCGCGCGGCGCCGACCGTCCGATCCCCGCGGCAGGCTCTGCTCGTGGATGCACCAGTGGCATCCGCTCCTCGTGCCCACGTACCCCGACTCGGAGTAGCGGGCATCTTTTCGTCGCTCCGCGCGCGTGCTCGTGGCTCGCGTGCTCGTAAAACGCGTCCGGTTGCGTCGCGCGGCCGGGGAGCGGCGCGGGCGGACGTCGCGGCGGCCGCCCTCGGCCGTCTCGAAGGCCGCCGGCGCGGTCACGCGGTTAGCGCCTACCGCTTGCCGCCGCCGGCGCCGTCACGCGGTTAGCGCCTACCGCTTGCCGCCGCCCGCGGTGACGACCTTGGTGTAGAGGTCCTTGATCGTGTCGTACTGGGCGTCGTTCGTCGCGTCGGGCCGGGCGAGGAACTCGCCCCACATGGCCTGGAACCGCGCGGAGGCCCAGGCCTTCCACTCCGGCGTCGCCGCGCCCGGGTGGAGGGCCGCGAAGGGCTCGCCGCCCGCGGCGTGGAGGATGCCCGCGGCGCCGACGGGGTCGGGCACGAACGGCAGGGGCCCCGGCGCCTTCGTCGACCGGACGAGGTGCACGTGCGCGAGGCCCAGGTTCTTCGTCGACGGCGTCGACATGTTCGCGTCGTAGGCGGCGCAGTGCTCGAACCAGACGGCCGCCTCGAGGAGCAGCGCCGGGTCGTGGGGCTCCTCCTTCATCGCCGACTCCAGGACGTACGCGGCGCGCTCCGCGACGTGGTCGAAGGCCTCGCGCTGGATGGTCCACTCCCAGGTCTCCGTGGAGCAGTGCGCCGGGTCGAGGCAGACGCGTTTCAGCTCCGCGAGCGTCGCGTTCCAGAATTCCCGCGAGTCCGCGACGTAGTCGCGGATCGCCGGCGGCCGGTCGACGCGCGAGAGCTGCGACAGGAGGCCCATGGGCAGGAATTCGTAGCGCTCCTTGTAGTCCGCGTCGGCGTAGCTCAGCTTGCCGCCGAGGAAGATGCCGCTGCGGTTCCAAAAGTTGGCGTCGAAGAATTCGCCGATCGTGAACGCGCCCTCGGCCCACGCGACGGTGCGCTCCTTCGTGTAGTGCGTCCCCGGCCAGCCGAGGTCCGGGTAGAGTTTGCGCTTCGTCGCCCACCAGCCGTAGGTCATCATGCTCAGGTTGATGACCGTGACGTCGTCGCGGAAGCCCTCGCACCGCTGCTGGTAGCGGACGGACGTCCACTGCTGGTCGTAGTTCACGAGGAGGAGCGCGCGCTCCGGCAGCGGCGCGAGGAGCGCGCGCGCGTAGTCGTGGAAGTACCACGCCGGGGCCGCGGCCTGGAGGCCCATAGATTTGCCGTAGAGGCCGCCCGGCGCGCCGGGCGCCGCGCCGGGCGGCTCGAGCCCCGCGCGGAGCTGGCCGAGGAGCAGGAGCAACGCGAGGGGCCCCGCGACGGCGACCTTCGCGAGGTCGCCGCCCGCGGCCCCGGCGGCCCGGGCGACGCCGTCGACGCCGAGGCCCGCGAAGCAGCAGACCAAAACGTGCGGCTGCATCCAGAACCGCGCGTGGATGCCGTAGAGGAGCGGGTCGCTCAGGGGCAGGTTCGACAGGGCGTGGAAGACGACGAGGTAGAAGCCGAGCGTGCCCGCGAGCGCCGCGGCGACGTCGCGCGGCGCGCTGCCCGCGGGCCCGTCGTCCGGCGCGCGGTCCCGCGCGGCCGCCGCGCGGCGCCGCTCGGGCGGGACGCCCTTCTTCTCCTCGTTGTAGGCCTGGACGCGCGCGCGGCGCCGGTACTTGGACGCCTGCTTGCCCCGGGGCGCGCCCTCGTCGTCCGGCGCCGCGGCCGCGGCGCGGCCCTCGGCGAGCGCGAGCGCGACCGCGCCCGCGGCGGCCAGGAGCGGCAGCGCGGCCGTCGCCGGCCCCTGGAGCGCGTGCACGCTGTGGGCGTAGGCCGCGAGGCGGTCGCCGAGCGACTCGCCGCCGCCGCCGCGGCCGCTGTACAATTGCAGCGTGCCGTAGTCCTTCCGCAAAAAGTGCCGCGCGAAGCCGGCGAGGCTCCGCACGTCGCCCCAGGAGCCGCGGCTGTCCGCGCCGAGGGGCAGGTAGGCGTAGGGGCTCAGGCCCGCGAGGCCCGCCGCGACGAGCCTGAACCAGTCGCCGGCGCCGAGCTCGCGGCCGCAGATGGACAGCAGCCACCCCACGAGGGGCACGGCGAAGAGCACGGCCGTGTGCTGGTTCGTCAACGCGACGCCGACGAGGAAGGCGCCGAGCGTCAGGTCCGCGGGCTGGCGGAGGCGCGCGTAGCGCAGCGCGCGGTGGACCAAGAGCGCGGCGAATAAATTGTTCAGCGCGAAGACCTCGGCCGTGCCGGCGTACTGCCACGTGACGGGGCTGAAGGCGAAGAGGCCCGCGCCGACGAGGCCCGGCAGTTTCGACGCGTCGGCGCCCTTGGCGGACCAGCGCGCCTCGTCGACGCACGCGCCGACGACGGCCGCGGCGGCCGCCGCGACGGCCGCGGTGAAGAGGTTCGCCCAGGCCGCGGGCGTCGGCGCGAAGAAGACGCGCGGCAGCCGCAGGACCGGGTGCATGACCATGGTGAAGAGCGGGTAGCCCGGCGGGTGCGCCGTGCCCAGGCCGCAGGCCTCGGCGAGGAGCTCGCCGCTGTCGCCGCCGGCGACGGACGGCGCGGCCGTCAACGCGTAGACGGCGAAGACGCACCAGAACGTGAGTTTCGTGCGCGCGTCGAGGAGATGCGCGTCGCCGGTGGCCGCCATGGTCGTTGAACGCAGGCCTGCTACCATGCGCGACGGGCTGCCACTGGCCAGCGACCGGCATCTTTGGCCGGCGCTAGAGGTGTGGTTTGCCGCGGCAACTCGCTGTTTCTGTTCGCGAGCGAACCAGCTCGAGCATCCAAGCAGCCGGCCCCGCGGCAGCCAGATCTCAGAGCCATGCACACCACCGTGCGCCGCCGCGTCCAATCCGCGGCATCGCTCGCACCCGCGCGCGCGCCCGGACGCGAAACTGCCGGGGCGCGCGACGCGCCGCGTCGCCGCCGCGTCGCCGAACCGCTCCTCGCACCCAGGCGAAGATGCGACCCATGGCGCGGAGCTTCTCGGCGTCGGCCAAGGTCTGGATCAACAAGGAGACCAAGGTCATCTGCCAGGGGTCCGCGCCGGCCGCGTCCGCGGGACATTAAAAGACCGCCCGCGCGACCGCGTCCCGCCGCTCGCAGGTTCACGGGCAAGCAGGGCACGTTCCACAGCGAGCAGGCGCTGGCCTACGGCACGAACGTCGTCGGCGGCGTGACGCCGAAGAAGGGCGGCCAGGAGCACCTGGGCCTGCCCGTCTTCGACACGGTGATGGACGCGAAGAAGGCGGTCAACCCGGACGCGTCGATGATCTACGTGCCGCCGCCGTTCTGCAAGGCCGCGATCATGGACGCCATCGAGGCGGAGATCCCGCTCGTCGTCGCCATCACCGAGGGCGTGCCCCAGCAGGACATGGTCGAGGTCAAGTACCACCTCACGCGCCAGAGCGCGACGCGGTTGATCGGCCCGAACTGCCCGGGCATCATCAAGCCCGGCGAGTGCAAGATCGGCATCATGCCCGGCTACATCCACAAAAAGGGCAAGATCGGCGTCGTCTCCCGGAGTGGCACGCTCACCTACGAGGCCGTGCACCAGACGACGGTCACGGGCCTCGGCCAGTCGACGTGCGTCGGCATCAGGGCAGGACAAGAGAGCGAAATTCCCAACTTCAAAGGCTCATATCTCGGCCGTTTTCCACCCGTTTTGGCTGATTTTTGGACGAGCGATCATCTCTCGGAACGGTCTCGAAGCGTGGATGCTTTTTCCGGGGCGCGCGCGCGCGGAACACTCACGTTGAAGCGACGTTGAATCACCCTTTTGCTGCCCAGGTCGGCATCGGCGGCGACCCGTTCAACGGCACGAACTTCATCGACTGCCTCGAGCGCTTCACCAACGACCCGGAGACCGAGGGCATCATCATGATCGGCGAGATCGGCGGCTCCGCGGAGGAGGAGGCCGCCGAGTGGCTCAAGGCGCACGGCGACCCGGACAAGCCCGTCGTGGGCTTCATCGCGGGCACGACGGCGCCGCCGGGCCGCCGCATGGGCCACGCGGGCGCCATCGTCTCCGGGGGCAAGGGCACGGCCGCGGCCAAGTTCGCGGCCTTCGAGGACGCGGGCGTCTTCATCTCCCGGTCGCCCGCGCAGCTCGGCTCGACGATGATCCAGGCCTTCAAGGAGCACGGCAAGGAGATCCCCATGGCCGCCTAGACACCGCGGTCGCCGCCGGCGCGCTGCGCCGGCGCGGCCCCGCCCCCGCGCGCGCCCGGCCGCGGCTGTCGGCCGGGCGCCGCGCCGCGGCCGCGAAAGCGCGGCCGCGCGCCCCGCTTGTCTTAACCCCACCGGAATCGAGCTGTGTCTGCCTGGGCCCGCGTCGCGTGGCGGGGTCGCCGCCTCGTGGGGGCGACTCGAGAGACGAGTCGGAGACGACTCGATCGACGCCGCACGTCGAGCTCGACGCTGCCTACGCTGCCGGCCGCGGCGCGACGACCCCCGGCCGCTCGAACGGCGAGCCAAGTCTGGTGCTCGACATCGCAAACTCGACCGCGCGCAGCACGCCGTTCACCATGGCGCAGAACAACCCGCTCATGTTCAGCGGCAGCGCGGCCGACATGCTCAAATCCATGGTGCGTCAAAAATTTCCGCGCGCGACGCCCCGATTTTCGAAAAGTGTCTCAAAAGCGTGTGCACTTCCCGCCCGGGGTCGCCACAGACTTTACGGACAAGGTGCACTTCCTAGGGCGCCGCGGTCCCGGAGCAGCAGCCCATGACGTCCCTCGAGGACTCGCAGGCGGCGAAGAAGAAGATGGACGCGGAGAAGGTCTGCACGGACGAGCACTGCACGGAGGACCACGCGCACGGCCACGACCACGGCGACGGCAAGGTCTGCACCGCGGACCACGGCCACGGGTCCCACGACCACGCGAGCCACGACCACGGCGGCCACGACCACTCGACGTGCACGATGGACCACGACCACAGCGAGCCCAAGGCCGAGGGCGGCCACGGCCACGGCCACGGCCACGGCCACGGCCACGGCGCCGAGCACGAGAAGAAGGAGCACGACGGCGGCTGCTGCGGCGGCCACGGCCACGACGACCACAAGGAGGCGTCGGGCCACGACCACGGCCACGGCCACAAGAAGGAGGAGGCGCCGGGCCACGACCACGGCCACGGCCACGAGAAGAAGGGCGAGTCCGGCCACGACCACGGCCACGGCCACAAGGACAAGAAACACAAGGAGAAGCACGACCACGAACACGAGCACGCCAAGTAGACTTCGACCACGAGCACGCCATGTAGACTTCGGCGAATTAAGCGCACGACCATTTTAGCATGACCGGCGCCGCCGCGCCCCGGATCGCCGGGATCGCGTCCGAGCGCGTAGGAGCGCTCGGGGTCGCTCGGGGTCGCTCGGGGTCGGCGCCGGGATCCCGGTGGCGCCGGCCCTTTTAGCCGGCGGCGCGTACGGCGTCGGGATCGGGATTTTCTGTCCGAGCCAATTGCAATTTGCCACAAGCTAGTGGGCCGCCTGTCGACAGTCCGCGTCCTCGAGCGCCGCTCCGCGTCCTCGAGCGCCGCGCCGTCGGAGACCCCGGAAGCCTTCCGAAGCCATGGTCTCCATCTTCAGCGGCGAGGTGAACCGGACGTGGCGGTTCTGCGACGGCGGGGGCCAGCACCACGAGGTGTCGCTCTACCACCACCCGCTCACGGGCGCGCGCGCGGCGCTCGTCGACCACGAGGAGCTCGAGGGGTCCCTGGGCACGAGCTCCGTGTTCCACGGGTCGACGACGACGATCCCCTTCGCCTGCGGCGGCTGCCGGGGCGCGATCCACATCCAGCGGAGCGCGTTCTTCGGGTTTTCGTACGCGTGCTCCGCGGACGGCGTCTCCGTGCCCGAGGCGACGTCCGCGACCGCCGACCCGCGGCGCGCCCCCGGCCACGCCGGTCGGTCGGGCCCCGCGCTCCGCGTGAACTCGTGCCGCGTGCTCGCGCACGTCACCACCCGCGACCACGCGTCGCCGTCCGCGCCCATCGTCTGGTACCTCATCGAGACGCACGCGTCCAAGGGCGACGAGGTCGCGACGACGCGCGTGCACCGCCGCTTCCGCGACTTCGCCGATCTGGACGAGGCAATCACCGGCGCGCTCGCGGGGCACCACGTGCGCAACTCCGTGCCGCGGCTCCCCCTCAAGAAGCTCAAGCTGTTCCAGGACCACAACGACGCCGCGTTCCTCGAGGCCCGGCGCCGGGATTTGGACGGCTACGTCGCCAAGCTCGTGCACGTGCCCCACGTCTGGGCGACGCCGCCCGCGGCGCCCTTCGTCGGCGTCGCGAACAACGTCCGCGAGTACAGCGTCGTCTTCCCCGAGCGGACGCTCGGGTTCACGCTCGGCAAGTCGTCGGGCGCGGAGTCGCGCGAGAACGACTTCCCGGCCTTCGTGGCGTCCTGCCGGCCGCCGGACTGCCCCGTCGACATCCGCATCGGCGACCTGCTGTCGAAGATCTCGGGCCGGTCCGTCGCGACGATGACCTTCGCCGAGCGCGCCGCTGTGCCGAATTCAAATCTTCAACCCGACTTCAATGTGCGCATATGCGACAGTTTTCGACGCAAGCTCTTCGGCCGTGCTTCGAGAACTCGACGAGAGCCATCGATCCGTCCAAACATCAGCCGAATCGACTTCGATTTGATCGAGCTAGAGAATTCTCAAGTTTGGTCAGGACCACCCAAACCAGTGGTTGAATTCCACACAGGTGCGTCAACGCGATCAAGCACTCCCAGCGGCCCATCATGCTCCACTTCCTCGCGACGCTCGGCTCCGTGCCCAGCGACCCGCTGCTCCGCGCGCCCGGAGGGCAGGCGCCCTCCGGCCTCGCGCCGGCGACGCCGGACCCCTTCGCCGGCGACTTCGACGACAACCCGTTCGCGGGGTCCCTGTAAAAAGCGTCCTTTTTTTTAGGAGCCCTCCTCCTCTGGCGCGTCCGCCTGGTAGACCTCGGGCTGGCACGCGGTCACGGCCTTCGTCTTCGGGTTGAAGCCCGGCGCGCCGAAGTTGCCGTCGTCGAGCGCGTAGGCGGCCGCGACCTCGTCGCCGCCGGCGCCGGAGACCCAGGGCAGGTCGTTCGCCAGGCCCGCGACGACCTCCTTGGGCCCGTGCTGCGTCGTCGCCTCGGCCCAGGACCAGTTGTGGCGCCGCCGGTTCGGCCGCGGCGGCCGCTTCGGGCCCTCCGCGCCGCACTGGAAGCACGTCTTGCGGAAGGCGAAGTTGTTCGCGTTGCACTGCTTGCAGAGCCAGTCGCCGGCCCGCGGCTCCGGGCCCCCGCGGCCCCGGCCCTGGCCGCCGCGGCCGCCGCGGCCGCCGCCGCGGCCCCGCGTCCCGCCGCCGCGCCGCGGCCGCTCCGCGTAGCCGCGCTGCGAGAAGGGCGTGTCGCTGTGGAGGAGCACGAGCGGCGACAGGTGCTGGCGGCGCGGCGGAGCGAAGCCCGCCGCGCACGCTGCGAGGAGGGCCAAAATGCAGCCTCTCATGCTTCAATTCGTCGAGCTTCACCGTCGCGATGTTGACGAGCGGCGGCGAATGTTGCCTTGCATCGCCGTCATCCGCTGCTGAGGTGGGTTGAATCCTCCAGCGATCCAGGTGACCTGACTCCGAAAATATGCGGATCGTGAGGTCGATGCGGCCTCCGTTTTAGATTTGTGTGAGGTCTTCACCCAAAACCATGAAGATTGCCTCGAACCAATGGCTCTCAATGGCAGCCCCACACGAAATCTCTCGCTATCCAGCTATCCCAACACAGCAGCCCCGTGGCGTCGGCATCTGGGCGCGGGGGCGCGGGAGGCGGGCCCGCCCCCCAGCGCCCGGCCATGTCCCTGCAACGCCGCCGGACGACGGGCGGCGGGGGCAGCCCCTTGTCCCGGCTGCGCGAGGGCGGGGCCCGCTTCTCCCTCGGGGGCGATCGCGGGTCTTCCTTTTCATCGCCGTCGGCCTGGACGACCCGGCGGCCGCGGACGGCGCTGAGCGCGTCGGCGCGCGTCCAGGCGGTCCTCGAGCGGCGCGGGGCGGCGTCCTCCCGGCCCCGAATTGCAAGGTCCCGCGCGCGGCGGCGCCCGGACGCGGCCCCCCCCCGCAGGCCCCGGCTCGGCACGGCTCCCCCGCGCTCCAAGCAGCTCCAGCGCGTCCACGCGGGCCTCCCGCGTCCCCCGGACCCCCGCGCCGGCCCCCGCCAGCCCCGGTCCCCCCGGCGGCCCCGGCGCGTCGCCCCCGGCGGCCGAGCGCGTCCCGGACCCGCGCAGGCGCCCGAGCCCGTCGCGCGGCCGCGGTCGACGCGCCACGACCTGGACACGAGCAAGGTCGAGCCCCTGCAGCAGCACGGCCTCATCTCGCCGCGCCGCGAGTCCGAGCCGCCGCGCGTCCCCCCGGGTCTCCGCGCGCGCGCCGCGCGCGCGGAGGAGCCGAAACACGCAGGCGCCGCGCGGCGGCCGTCGAGGTCTGGCTCGTGCGCCACGGCGAGACCGAGGCGAACGCGGGGCGCATCACCCAGGGCCAGCAGCACGGCCGCCTCACGCGCACGGGCGCGGCCCAGGCCGCGAGTTTGGGCGCGCGGCTCCGCGTCGAGCACGCGGCGCGGCCCTTCGACGTCGTCCTCTGCAGCGACCTGCTCCGCTGCCGCCAGACCTGCTCCCTCGCGACGCGCCGCTGGCGGCCCCGGCCGCCGGCCTTCTTCCGCACGGACGAGGGCCTCCGCGAGCGGTCCGTCGGCATCTACGAGGGCCTGCCGCACCACGCGCCGCGCGCGCCGCGGCCGCCGGGCGTGCCCGCGCGGGCCTACCGCGTGCCCCGCGGCGAGTCCTGGGAGGACGTGAACAAGCGCGCGCGGCGCCTGCTCCTGCGCCTCGGGGGCACGTTCGTCTCCGGCAAGGGCCGCCGCGACGACGACGAGAAGGCGCCGGAGGGCGCGCCCAAGAAGCCCGCGTCCGGCCGCGTGTCGCCGTCCAAGGACGAGCCGCCGCCCCCGCGCGACGACTCGCGGCTCCGCGTCCTCGTCGTCACGCACGGCGGCTTCATCATGGAGACGGTCAACGCGGCCCGCGGCGCCGACGGCCGCCGCGTGCCCTTCGCGGAGAACGGCGCCTACAACACGGCCATCTACAAGTTCGAGCTCACGAAGGAGCCCCAGCACGACCGCCTCTGCTGCCGCGTGCTCTCGATGAACGACGCGTCGCACCTCCACCGCTTCCGCGAGCGGTCGTCCGACTTCGACCTCGTCGACGAGCGGCCGGCGCTCGTCGACGAGTGCTGCGGCGACCAGTGGTGGTGCGACAACCCGGACGCCGAGACGCCCTGAGCACGTCGCTTCGCGACGCCGCCGCCCCTCCGCGGGGGGGCGCGCCGTTGGACGGCGCGCCCCGGCCCGCGCGGCGGCCCCTCTCTTATTCGCGCGCGACCGGAGCGTCGACCTCACCACACACACACAAAAACGCGGACCGTCGGCGACGCGCCTCGGGAGATCCAGGCCCGCCAAACCGACACCTCCGCCCAGCTCCGACCGCCCTCCGCCCGCGCGCGCCGTTGGACGGCCGCGCGGGGCCTACGTCGACGACGCCCCACATAACACCACCCGATGTTCGCGAGAAAGACGGGCACAAGGGCGGCGCCCCCCCTAGTGGAGCGGCGCGGCCGGCGGCTCCGACGCCGCCGACGGGCTCCGCCGCTCGCGCGATGGCGTCTCGGGCCGCTCGCGCTGCGGCTCGGGCTCCTCGGGCGGCGCGTCGGGCACGACGCTGAACTCGAACTGGCGGGGCTGCTCGGGCACGCCGTCGTCGTCGGGCGCCGACGCGCAGGCGATCTCGCTCAGCGCGGTCCCGGTCGACCCGCCGCAGACGAAGAAGCGCAGGCCCAACCGAAAGTCGTCCGCGAGGCGCGTCGTGAAGTCGACGACGGTGCGCTCCGACTCGAGGAGCTCCGTGCGGAGCCGGTTCCGGATGCGCGCCTTGTACATGACGGGCAACCCGTCGACGCGGCCCGCGAGGTCGTCCATGCTCTCGGCGCCCGTGTTCGCCGCGGACGTCGCGAGCTTGGGCTCGCCGGCCTCCAGGGCCGTGCCGACGAGGAACCGCGCCAGCCGCAGCCGCTTCGCCACGTGCTCGGGGAAGAGGCCCTCGAACTCGCCCGACGACAGCGTCTCGTCGAGATCTCCGAGCGTGCGGATGCGCTCGCGGCTGCAGATGCCGCGCCAGGAGATGCCCTTGTCGTCCGTGTCGAGGCGCACGAGGACGAGGGCGACGTCCACGGGGCAGGCCGCGGCGCCCTCGCCGGCCTCGACCATGAGGCCCAGCTTCGCCTCGACGCGGCTCATGGGGTCCTTGCTCGGGGAGACGGCGTGCTCGATCTCGAGCTCGGCGCCGTTGCCCGCCGCCGCGGCGTCGAGCTGCGCGCTGCTCGACGAGCCGATGAGGAACTCCATCGGCCGCCGGCGCGCGGACCGCCGACGGACGCGGTGCGATGCACAACAGTGCGGCCGGTTTTTTAGCGCCGCTTCAGGAAGGCGGCAAGGTGGCAGCCCCGAATAAATTTATAAAACTCCGCTTAACTCCGCCATGGGCGCCTCGTGGCTGCCCTTGTGGCTCGCCGTCGTCGTCGCGCGCGAGGCGCGCTGGGCGCCGCAGCGCGAGCTCGAGCGGCGCCATCCGGACGACGCGCTCAACGCGTCGGCGCGCGTGCGGCGCGAGCTCGAGCGCACGGTGGACGCCTACCCGAAGGCGCGGAGCGACGAGGACGCGCTGCGCCTCGCGCGCCAGGCCCTGGCGGCCACGCAGCACTTCGTGCTGCTCTGGCAGAACCGCATCTTCTGCGCCGCGGACCACCTCCACGCCGACAAGCACAAGATCCACTACATGTTCTCGCTCATCGCGTCGATGGCGGAGCGCGCGCCGCTGCCGAACGCGCTCTTCGTCTGGGACCAGGGCGCGCGGGGCACGGGCTGCCCGCCGGGCGCGCCGGAGACGCCCTGCTTCGTCATCGCCAAGGTGTCGGGCTACGGCGCGCGCGGGATTTTGGTCCCGAACCCGTACTTCTGCCACCTCCGGTTCTGGGACGACCGCGCGGGCCGCATCCGCGGCGCCGCGGCGCTGCGGCCCTTCGCCGGGCGGGACCCGCGCCTCTTCTGGCGGGGCGGCGTCACGCGGTCCTGCAATCCGGGCAACGTCGCGCGCGTCGCGGCGATCTCGCTGACTTCGGACGACGCAACCGCCTTCGACGTGCGCTGCACGTCGTGCCAGCCGCCGAACAGCGACGCCTGCGGCGGCGCCTTCAACTACACGGCGAGCATGCGACACCTCGCCGACGGCCGCAACCGGTCCCTCTTCGTGGAGCCGCACGACTTCTCGCGGTGGCGCCACGTCCTCAACATGCCGGGGACCATGGGCGGCTCCTACAGCCGGCACCTGAACCACCTCTGGAACCTGGGGTCGACGGTGGTCCTCTGGGACTCGCCGGCGGTGGAGTGGTACTACCCCGCGCTGCGCGACGGCGCGACGCACGTCGCGGTGACCCGCGCGTCCGCGCCGGCCGCGGTGCGCCGGCTCACGGCGGACGTGGGCGCGGCCCGGCGCCTCGCGGCCGAGGCCGCGGACGTCCACGACACCTACCTCTGCGGCGACTGCATCGAGGCCTACTGGCGCGCGGCGCTCGACGCCGTCCGCACGCGCCAGCGCCAGGCGCGCGTGCTCGACGACGGCGCGGGCTCGCTGCTCCACGACGCGCTCCACGACGTCGACTGCGAGGCGCTCCGCGAGTTCGTCCTCGCGGACGACGCCGGCGCGCCCATGGACGCGGAGCACGACTTCTTCGGCGGCCACCCGGGCACGTTCCGCGCGCTCGGCGACTGGGACGACCTCAAGTTCGCCTGCCTCGCGTCCTAACACGTATGGTATCTCTCGCCGTGGCGCCGATCGGCCGTTCACGACACTTCAACCAGCACGTCGATGTCGACGATGTCGTCGGCAACACACATCGATCGGTCCGACTCGATCGCCTGGCGCCAAAAAATACGCAACATGGGCAGCCCGGTGCCGTGAGATGCGCCACGCCCTAGTGCTGGCGCTCGTGGTGGCGGCGCGCTGCGGCGCGGCGCCGCCCGGCGCGGCGGTGCGCGCGAGCGAGGCCGACGGCGCGCCGGCCGCGCCGCGGCGCGGTCACCACCCCTACGTCGTCGTGAGCAGCCAGCGCAGCGGGTCCCTCTTCGTCATGGACGAGCTCAAGAGCTACCCCTGCGTCGTGAGCCACAGCGAGATGTTCCTCAACCGCGGCGGCCTCGAGTGGGACGGCGCGACACTGCGGGGCTGCCTGAGGACCTTCGCCGCGGGCGGCGCGCTCCCGGGCGCCGCGGCGCCGATCACGGCCAAGTTCCAGGTCATGCTGAACCAGACCCTGCGGCAGGAGGCCGAGGCGGCGCGTGGGGGTTACGCCGTCGCGACGGGCTTCAAGTGGATGCTGAGCCAGCGCGCGGGAAGACACTGGCCGTGGTTCGTCGAGCTCTGCCGCGACTTCGGCGTGCGCCTCGTCTTCCTGCTGCGGCGCAACGCCGCGCGCCAGCTCGTGAGCCGCCTGCTGAACGCCGAGGACAAGGCGCGGGCCCAGGCGGGGGGGCTGCGGCACTCCGCGCACCCGAACTCGGAGTCGCGGCTCGACGAGCTCCGGAGCCGCCGCGTGACGTTCCGGCGGGACCAGGTCCTCGAGCAGCTCCAGGACATGCGCGAGAAGTGGGACGAGCTCGAGCGGCTCCGGCTCTACGCGCTCGCCCGGGGCGTGCCGTCCGCGCGCGTCGTCTACGAGGACGTCGACGCGGACCACTCGCTCGTGGGCAACCTGAGCGACTTCCTGCTGGCGGACGTGGGCGCCGAGGAGCGGGCCAACTGCGCGGCGGCCTTCGCGTCGCGGCCGCCGCCCCAGGGCCACGAGAAGATCCACACGAGCTCGCTCGAGGACCTCATCGTCAACTTCAAGGAGGTCTGGCACCTCCTCCACAACACGCCCTGGCGCCACTGCCTCGCGGAGGAGCCCCACCCGCCGCCGGACCCGGGCGCCGTCGTCGACGCGAGCTCGAGCCTCTACGGCTCGAACTCGCGGCCCTGCTGGGAGCCCCCGGGCCACTTCGGCGACTAGACGGTTTTCGGTTTTTTACACACGGGGTGCGCCTAGTGCGCCTCGAGCCAGGTCCGCACGTGGCCGTTGCGCCAGTCCTTGGTGACGTCGTCGTAGTGCGCGTCGAAGTGTAGGCGCTGAGGCCGTGGTCGCCGGGGTCCGCGAGGCGCTTGTTCGACACCTGGAGCACGACGGCGGAGCCGCCGCGCGCGGAGATTTCGTCCGCGACGGGCGCCGCGGCGGGCGCGATGGACTCGTCGCGCAGGTGCTCGTTCGCCGCGTAGTAGCCGACGACGCGGCCGCCGTAGGCCGACTTGGCGTAGGTCTCGACGGCGAGCGACGCCGCCTCGACGCTCGGCGCCAAAGTGCCGTTGTGGAAGAGGGGCACGGCGTCGACGACGGCGATCGTCGCGCCCTCCGACGTGCCGACGAGCAGGCCGTCGACCGCCAAGTGCGGGTAGGCCGCGCAGTGGAGCATGATCTTCGTGTAGGCGAGCTCGTTGACGGACGCCATCGCGGACCAGGTCGACGCTGAGGGCGACGATGCTGGCGGGCGTCGGCCTTGCCACAACACCCGAGTTGAACGATGTTGCGAGCGCGCGCGCTGGCGCCGCAACTGCGGCGCCTGTCGACGGTCCCGGTCCGCGCGCCGCGCCTGGGCCGCGCGACGCAGCCCGCGCTCCGGTGCCGAGCGCTGTCAACAACGAAGCCCGTGGGCCCCGTGGGCGCCGTGGGCGGCGGCGGCGCGCCGGAGCTCGAGGAGGGCGACGCCTACTGGTGGGTGCCCTACGCCGTCATGTCGGCCATCGGCGGGCTCTGCTTCTGGTTCTATCGCGCGTCGGCGGCGCACAGCAACCGCCTCGAGCAGCTCGACGCGATCGGCGACGAGGTCGCGCTCGACGGCGGCGAGCGGGAGGAGCTCCGGGACCGCAACGCGCCCTTCCTCACGGCGGCCCAGTTCGCGGAGGTCTGCGCCGAGACGCGGCGCGTCCTGCGGGCGTCGGCGGCGACGGACGGCGTGGGCTACGTCGCCTTCGCGGAGGCGGCGAACCGCTTCCTCGACCGGCCGCTCGAGGGCGGCCACCTCCTGGACCGCGTCGCCATGGTCGCCAACGCCCAGGACCGGCGCGACAGCGAGGACGTCGAGCTCGGCTACCTCTTCGCGGCGCTGTCCCTCTGCTGCGGCGGCGACGCCGTCGAGCGCGCGGCGGCGCTCCACCGCGTCTACGCCGACGGCGACGCGCTGCCGCGGCGCGACCTCGAGCGGCTCGTCTTCTGGCTCGCGCGGTCGGGGCAGATCGACGCGAAGAAGCAGGTCGCCGAGGGCGACGGCTCCTTCCCCGTGCAGACCTACGTCCGCAAGGACGCCGCGACCATCGTCGCCGACGCCCTCAAGGAGTCGTCCCTCGACGAGGACAGCCACGCCCTCACCGAGGAGGACTTCGTCGTCCTCATGACCGCGAAGGCCATCGACTTCAAGTAGCGCGCTTTCCCGTAAAAACAGACGGGCTATGTACACGCGACTATGTGCAGGGCGCTAGATCTTGTGCCGGTTGCTCAGCCAGGAGAGCCACGTCTTGTGGACGAAGGACCCGACGCTGATCGCGGCGATGCGCGAGTGCTGGGGCACGTAGAGGAAGTTGAGCAGACAGAGTGGGGTCCAGAAGACCGCGGACCCGAAGGACGCGTCCCACCACTCGCGCCGCAGCTGGCTCGCGGTCTCGTCGACGCTCCGCCCGCGCAGCGAGCACGTGATCGCGTAGAACGTCGGGATGAGCAGCAGCGGCGTGTGCACGTAGACGTCGAGGACCATCTTCGTCATCGCGTTCCGCACCGTCGGCGTCTTTCCCAGAATTCGGTCGTACCAGAGGTAGAGCGTCTTCGCGGTCACGCCGTAGTGGAAGAACCCGAACGTCGCCAAGGCCAGCGTGCGCCCGGCGTCGACGCCGTCGTCCCGGGTCAACGACTGGCAGGTCACGTCGGACGCGGCCATGACACCGCCGGCCGTGGCGGCCGCCGCGACGTGCGGCCGGCGCTGCGAGAAGCGGGCGTAGTGGCTCGGGAAGGCGCGCAGGGAGGCCAGCGCGTGCGTCGGGAGGGAGCGCAGGGAGGCCAGCGCCATGATGTGAAGAAAAGCAGGGAAAAGAGGACCGGCGTCGTCCCTGCCGATGTGGCCGGTTTCACGAGCGCGCGCCGCTGTCAGGAACTGCTAGTCGGATTGCTGCTGGGCTAGAGTAACGGCTCGGGCACACGTGCTGCTTAGTTATCGCCTCACGGCCCGCGAATCTCGCGAACAATATCCATACGTCGGGTCGAGCGCCGCGAATTCACGCGTCAACACTAGGTAAACATCAGCTTTGTGTCCTCGTTTTGCGATTCTCAGACGACGTCCCACCACGTCGCTTCGACAAGAACACGACCCCGTCGTCCGCCGACGCGGCCCGCACGCTCGAGTCCGCGCTAGCCTCTGCCCCGCGCGCGCTCCCCCCGCCCGCGTCCGAGCGCGAACGCGGGCCCGAGTCGCCGTCGGCAAAAAAACACGGCAAAGCGAGATTTTACACGCAAAGTGGAACCTGCTCCCCTTCCAAACCCCCTTCCACCATCTTCATCTCTCGTGCCGGAGGGACGGCTTGTCGCGGTGGAGGTGCGAGTCCGCGGAGCACTCGCAGCCCCACAGTTCGCCGAAGGTCGGATCGAAGCCGGCGCCGTCCTCGTCGCAGCGCATGGCGTGCCCGTGCCTCACCCGAAACTCCACATTCCGCTCGCCCGGCCCGACGTCGCGGTAGGCGCGGCAGTGGCAGCGGCACCAGCCGCCCCGGGAGACGCAGAGCCGCTCGGGGCTCGGCTTCGCGTTCGCGGACACCGACCGCGCCAGGGCGACGACCCACGCGAACGCCCGCAGGCCCCGGCGGACCCCCGGCATCGTTTCGAGGAGCGGCGGGGCAGCTCCGCACTGGAACCAGACTTCGATGATTACGCCTCAACAAGGCTGCACCGTGAAGGGCAACGTATCGTCGTCGCGATGCATATGAGCCGCGCCTGAGCGCCATCCCAAGCGCCATGCGGTCCCGCGCGAGCGCGACACAAAAGGCGAAACGCGCGGTGGCGTCCGCGAGCCCGGCGAGCGCGCACGCGACGACGTCGCCGCTCACGCTGCTCCTGGCGCTCGCCATGCTGGGCAGCCTCCTGGCGACCCACCGCCTGCAGGTCGCCCGGACCCCGGCGCCCCTGCCGCCGGCGCGGCCGGCGGACGAGTTCCACGTCGTCTTCAGCACGGACTGCGGGAAGTACCAGGACTGGCAGAGCGAGGTCGTCTACCACAGCGCGACGCTCGCGGGGCAGCCCGGGCGCGTCACGCGCATCGCGAGCGGCTGCACGGACGCGGAGGCGGCCAAACTCCGCGCGCGCCACGCGGAACCCGACCTCGCGGGCCGCTTCCTCGTCCACCTCACGCCCCACTTCTCCACGGACGGCGACAGCGGCAAGGACTACAAGTTCTACAACAAGCCCTACGGCCTCCGGCACTGGCTCGGGGCAGGAAAAGGGTGATTCAAGTTCTCTTCAACATGAGCGTTCCGGGCGCGATCGTTCCAGAGAAAGCATCCACGCTTCGAGAGCGCTTCGAGATATGATCGCCCGTCCAAAAATCAGCCGAAACGAGTGGAAAACGGCCGAGATAGGAGCCTTTCAAGTTTAGGAATGTCGCACCCTTTTGCGGCCCAGGCACTGGCTCGCGCGCGCGGACCTCGGGGACGACGCCGTCGTCGCGCTCATCGACCCGGACTTCATCTTCCTGCGGCCGCTGACGGCGGACGTGAGCAACGCGTCGGCGATCCTAGCGTCCGCGCCCGTGGACGCCGCGGCGGCCGCCGCGCGGTTCCGCCGCGTGAAACGGGGGCAGCCCGTGGGCCAGTTCTACGGCCTCGGCGACGGCTGGCTCAAGTTCGACCTCGGGAAGATCTGCGGCGCCAAGAGCCGCTGCGCCAACGTCACGTCCGCCGAGGCCTGGCGCTACTACAGCGTCGGGCCCCCTTACATCGCGCACCGCGACGACCTGGCGAAAATCGCGGACCGGTGGTGCGAGTACGTGCCGCGCGTCTTCGCCCAGTACCCGGAGCTGCTCGCGGAGATGTACGCCTACTCCATGGCCGCCGCGGACCTGGGGCTGCCCCACCTGCGCCTCGACCACTACATGGTCTCGAACGTGAACGCGTACGGGGAGGCGTGGCCGTTTGTCCGCCGGCGCCGACGCCCCTTCCGCCGGACACCCCGCCGCCGCGCGCAGGTGGATCGACGGCGCGGCGACGTCGTCCTGCGACGTCACGCTGCCCCAGCGGCTCTGGCCCGGCCACGACGTGCCCGTCTTCGTCCACTACTGCCAGGGCTACCGGTTCCCCGACGCCGAGCGGGAGCTCGTCTTCGGCAAGCGGCGCCTGCCGCACGACGTCTTCTCGAGCTGCGCGGGCGAGCGGCTCCCGCGGCCGTCGCCCGCGGAGTTCGCGCGGGACCACGGCGACCTCCGGGCCGCGCCCGCCGTCGGCCCGCCGGGCCGGGACCTGCGGGACCGCAAGCGGCGCGCGTGGATGTTCTGCGCGGCGACGGACGCGCTCAACGCCGTCGTCGCCAAGTACGGCTTCCTCGGGCGGCGGACGCGGTCGGACGGCGCGCCGTGCGACTAGACGGGTGCGGGTCGCTATGCCAAAAGGGGCGCGCGCGGCGGCGCCGGGGCGGGGGTCGTCACACGGGCACGTTCACGAAGCGCGCGTTCGCCTGCCACCAGGGGTGGGCCTTGAGCTGGGGGAGCGTGAGGCGGCTCCGCGGGTCCGCCGTGAGGAGCCGCTGGAGCAGGTCCGGCGCGTGGGGGCTCAGCGAGATGTTCCAGTTCCGCAGGAGCTCGTCGAGGCGGCCGTCGCGGACGTAGACGTAGCGCATGTCCGACGTCGTCGGCCCGCTGCCCGCGTCCCAGGGCGGCATGCCCGTGAGCAGGAGGAACAGGATGATGCCGAGCGCCCAGACGTCGGCGGCGAAGACGTCGAAGGGCTCCTTGGCCTCGAAGAGCTCGGGCGCCATGTAGAGCAGCTTGCCGCAGCGGCAGGGCCAGCCCTTGGACGGCCCCAGGGGCGCCGCGTAGTAGGACGGCCCCGCGGCCAGGTCTCTCTCGTGGCCCGGCGGCGGCGGCGGCGGCGCGTTAGGGCCCGCGAGGAAGCGCGTGAACGTCGGATGCGACTTGACGGCCATGCCAAAGTCGATGATGATCGCGTCCTCGTTCGCGTCCAACATCAGATTCTCCAGCGACATGTCGTGGTGCGCCAACCCGAGCGCGTGGAGCTTCTCGAGGCCGGCGACGATCTGGCCCATGTACGCGGCGGCGCGCGCCTCCTCGAGCGCGCCCCGGCTCTCGACGACGCCGAAGAGGTCGCCGTGGGGGCAGAAGGGCATGACGACGTAGACCGACGCCTCGTCGGCGTAGCAGCCGAGCATGGGCAGCACGTAGCGCGCGCCGCCCGCGCTGGCGACGTAGTTCATGACCGCGACCTCCTTGATGGGGTCCTCGTTGAGGCGCCCGGCGTGGCGCGCCATGTGCTGCTCGTACTTGGCGCGCTCGATGCACTTGATGGCGACCTCGCGCTCCGTCGCGCGCCACGGCGCGCCGCCGGCGGACCCCAACCCGAAGATGCCGCCGCGCGCGGCCGCGGCGCCCGTGGGCTCGAGCTCGACGCCGTGGCGCACCTTGCCGTAGATGCAGGTCTGCAGGTTCCGCACGAGGCCGAAGCCCCGGCCGTCGGCCGTCACGAGCACGTGCTCCATCGTCACGTCGCCGCGGCCCGTCGCCACGGCCTGGCGATGCCGGAGCTCGCAGCCGAGGAACGCGGGCTTGGGGAAGGGCATGGGGTTCGCGCCGCCGCCGACGGCGGCCAGGGCGTCGAAGAGCGCGCCGCAGGACGGCGCCGGCGCGCCGCCGGCGAACGCGCCGAGTCGGAAGTCGAAGCCGTGGTTGCGAAGCGCCTCCCTGCGGCGCGCGGCTCGCGCGGCGCGCGGGAGGGAACTCTCGACGGGCGCGGGCGTCGCGCGTGAGCTTGGCGTTCCAGGGCATGCGCGAGCACGCCACGGCCTGCGGCGGGGGGGGGGCGGGGTCGCGCGCGCGGCCGCGGCTCCGCGCGCGTTCGAACGGCGCGCGCCGGGCGCCGGCGCCGCGCGAGCTCCGCGAGGCGCGCCGGGTCCCTGCCGCCGGCCGCCACGGACTCCCAGAGCTCCAGGGTCGTCCGCTCCGTGTCCGCGTCGCCCGCGTAGCCCGCGGCCTCGAAGTGCGTGTTGTACCAGCTCGTCGCCATCCCCGCCGCGCCGCACCGGAGCGCCGAGGCCGGCGGAGGCGCCGCGGGGTTCCGGGCAGCGCCGGCGGCGACGCTCGGTGTCTCTCTCGCTCCCGCTCCTCGCTCGACACCGGCAAGGCCCGCAGTCAGGGTGGCGATCGGCGGCAGGCTTAGCAGGCCGTGTAAAAACTTGGACCTGTTGGCTGAGCTTTCCCAGCTCCTCGGTGGATGCGCCAAGTGGCAGTCGCCGCCGTCCTCTCGTGAAACCCCCGGACTAACAGTACCGTCGTTCGAAGCGGCCGTTTGGCAGCCACCGACCGCGCGGCGCAGGGACACCTCGCCCGGCGACGAGACGCTCGCCCGCGCCAGCTTCGAATTTTACGGAGGTCCGTCGGGTTAAAGTTGCCCAAAGTATCCTACCGTTCTATATCACAAAAGCGGAAGGGCAAAATGGTGCTGCCATCACCGAGCTGTCTAATAACTTTTTCCGCGCGCGGCCGCCCCGCGCGCGCTTTGGCAGGCCCCCCCGCGGCGGCGTCCCGGACACTTCCACCGAGGCGATTTCCAAACGACGGCGGGGGGCGCGAGAAACGAGCGGTCGACGGTTTCGCGGTTTCCGCGGGCGGCCCGACGGCGCGGTTCCCGCCCGCCGCTGCGGCCCGCGCCCGGCGCGGCGCGCCCCCCGCGACCCGCGAGGAGGTGCGGGGCGGCGGTTTCGCCCGCGCGACGCCCTCGGGCGCCGCGCGGCCCCGGCCGACTCGATCGGGGATTCGTTCGGGCCCGGCCCGGTCGGGCGGCGGGCGGATCGCCCGCGGCCCGCGCGCGGGGCGGCGGCGCGCGCGCGGCCCGCACCCCGCGGGGTCTCGGGACGCCCGCGCCCGCGCGGCGCCGACGTCGACCGGGGCGCCGCGGGCGACGCGCTCGGCGATCGGCTCCGGGCCGCGGGACCGGCGGCCGGGTCCGTCCGACGGGCCGCGCGGGGCGGGGGGGGGGACGTGACGATTTCTATGGGTCAGAGAGTATCTGCGGCGGCCCGGCGGCGCGACGCCGAAGGCCATCGCGGGACGGCCGGCGACGCGTTCGGGCCCGACGCTGCGCGCCCGCGCCTACTCGGGAATACGATCACCGACTTTGTGAGAGCCGTACTACGGGTCGCGCAGGGAAGCAATAAGATTACACAACCACCGGTCCCGAAGGGACGGGCTCCCACAACCATCGGTCCCGAAGGGACGGGCTCCCACAACCATCGGTCCCGAAGGGACGGGCTCCCACAACCACCGGTCCCGAAGGGACGGGCTCCCACAACCATCGGTCCCGAAGGGACGGACTCCCACAACCATCGGTCCCGAAGGAACGGGCTCCCACAACCATCGGTCCCGAAGGGACCGCGGCCGCCGCCGCGGCCAGCCCCCATAGCCATCGGCCCGAGTCGCGCATCTGAGGAGCCGGCTAGCCTTCGGCCAGGCCGCGTAAACACGGCGCCGCGCCCCCTCCGGCCGGCGCAGACTGACCTTTACCTTCCCGGAGGCCGAAGGCCGGAGGAGCACGGGCAAACTTGTTACGCCTTTGTTCATTACTAGTAGTGGTTGGCACGATCCACGAGCTCTCTTTGCGCGCCGCAAAAGTTGTTCCACCACACTGCGCGGCTCGTCGTCGCGCAGCGGGAGCACGATGATGCTCCAGTAGTCGCCGCCATGTCGAGCCTGCAAGAGGCGCGCGCCCGCGTCCGCTCCCTCGCGGCCGGGGGCTGCCCGCGCCTCCCGCGCGGAGCGCGGGCGGCCGCTCGCCGGCCGCCGCGGCCCGCGCGCCGCCGCACGACAAAAGGACACGCCCGCGCAGGTGGCGCTGGCGCGGCCGCTCCTGAAGCGCTACCACGCCCACCCCTTCGCGGCGCAGACCATCCGCTGCTGCCCCAACAGCGGCGAGCACCGCGAACTCGGGCCCGACGAGGCGGCCGCGCGGGACCTCGCGCGCACGGTCATCCGCGCCTACGAGCACCAGCCCGTCAAGGGCGCGCCCCTCTGCCTCCCGGGCGGCAAGGTCGTCGCGGCCGACGCGAGGCGCGCCGCGTCCCGCGCGCTCCGCCGCGCGCGCGCGCGACCGCGGCGACCCGTCTCAGGTCTGGGCGAACCTGCTCCACGACGACCTCTTCGAGATTCTGGAGGCCGACGACGCCCTCCGCCGCATGCGCGCGTTCTCGACGGAGAAGTGGCTCGAGCGGACCGTGAGCGACCGCGGGAGCCGCGACGACCGGCGGAAGCTCGACGCGCTCCTCCGCGAGCTCAGCTTCCTCGAGGGCGTCGACGTGCCGGACGCCGACGACGGCCGCTGCGGCCTGCCCCGGGACATGTTCATGGTCGAGAGCCAGCCGCTCCAGGAGGTCGAGGTCTACCGCGGCCTCGACGACGTCGACCTCCTCGAGGGCCGCGGCCTCCCCGGCGACGACGGCGAGGAGGAGGAGGAGGAGGAGGAGGAGGAGGCGTAGGACGCGCCCGCGACCCCGCGCGCGCTGTTACGGCACCTCGTCGGTGAGCTGGGCCCCGGGGCTCGGCACGCGCGGCGATCGCCGCGCGCGGAAGCGCGGCGCGGGCGCGTCGTCGTCGCTCCGGTCCGACCAGGACCGCGGGGGGATGACGTGGAGGTCGCCGTGGTCGCGGAGCGTGCGCCAGAGGCGCCGGAGCGGCGCCTCGTAGAAGTCGCGGAGGAGCGCGCGCGTCGCCTTGGCCATGGGCGGCGCGGCCTCGGCGTCGCGATGCCGCCGCGGCCGGAGCGCGTCGAGCGCGTGGTCCCAGAGGGACGTCCGGAGCGGCGCGACGTCGTAGCGGCCCTTGCGCCGCCGCAGCTGGGGCTCGAAGTCGTGGTAGGGCAGGCCGAGGCGGCCCTGGAGCCTGTGCCGAATTCAACCACTGGTTTCGGGGGTCCCCACCAAACTTCAGAACTCTCTAGCTCGGTCACATCGAAGTCGATTCGGCTGATTCTTGGACGAATCGATTGCTCTCGTCGAGTTCTCGAAGCAGAGTTACAAAGCTCGCGTCAAAACGGTCGCATATGATCACATTGAAGTCGAATTGAATAGTTGAATTCGGCGCGGCCTGGAGCTCGTCGAGGACGCCGAGCGGGTCGCCGACGACGTCGTCGAAGAAGAGCACGTGGACCTGGCGCCGCGGGAAGTGGCCGTAGATGGACGAGAGCTGGGCCGCGTAGTCGCCGTCGGCGACGACGTCGACGGCGCCGCCGGGCGCCTTGGCCCAGCGCGCGGGCAACCCCGCGGGCGCGAAGCGCGGCGCGTCGGCGCCGGCCGCGGCGTCGTCCGCGGCCGGCGCCGGCGGCGCCCGGAGGAAGAGCTTCGCGACGGTCGCGCCGCGGACGTAGGCGTCGAAGGTCTCCGGCGCGCAGGCCCCGGCCGCGCACGCGAGCGGCGATAGGTCGCCGCGGCCCGCGCAGTCGCCGACGTAGCCCTCGGCCTCGTCGAGCGTCCAGGCCGCGCGGAAGCAGCCGCGGCGCGGCGCCGCGGAGACGACGGCGCCCGCGGGCGACCGGGGCAGGGGCCGCGACACCTCGTAGAAGCGGCCGTGCCGCGCGTGGTGGCCTGTGCCGAATTCAACCACTGGTTTGGGTGGTCCTGACCAAACTTGAGAATTCTCTAGCTCGGTCAAATCGAAGTCGATTCGGCTGATTTTTGGACGAGTCGATTGCTCTCGTCGAGTTCTCGAAGCACAGCCGAAGAGGTTGCGTCGAAACTGTCGCATACGCTCACATTGAAGTCGGGTTGAAGATTTGAATTCGGCACAGGTGGTGGCAATAGGCCGAGTACGCGCGGTCGACGGGGTCGCGGAGCACGACGACCAGATGGACGCCCGGCACGAGGTGCCGCGCGAGCGCGAGCGCGTCGGGGAAGCGGGCGTAGCTCGGCGACTTCTCGAAGGTCGCGACGCCCGCGCGGGCCTCGTCGCGCGACACCGCCGGGAAGCTCCGGAGGTAATCGCGCCACGTCGCCTCGAGCGCGGCCGTGTCCGAGCCGTTGCCGGGGAGCTGGTCGAAGTAGTGGACCTCGCGCCGGTGGGCGGCGGGGCCGTCGCCGCGCCGGAGCGCCGGGTGGCGGCTCAGCCAGTCGCTCAGCGAGCCCGTCGCCGCCTTCTGCGCGCCGACGATGAGGAACGTCGGCAGGCAGCGCAGGGACTTTTCCGCGTCGGCGCCGCCGGCGAGGAAGCTGAGGGCGGCCCGGGCGACGCCCGCGCGGCCGCCGCCGGCGACGCACGCGCCCGCGTCGACGGCCGCGGCCGACGCGCATTTGGCGCGGCCGTCGAGCACGAACCTTCTCGGGCCCGCGGACCGGTCCTGGGCCGCCGTCGCGTCGCCGCAGGCGACGCGCGCCAGGCGCACGCGGGGCGCTGACAGCGGCGACGCCCGGCCCGCGACGGCGGCGTCGCGCAGCACGAGCACGAGCGTCGTGCACAGCGCCGCGCCGGCGAGCCAGAGCCGCGTCTGGAAGGACCGGCGGTGGCGGCTCCGGTCCGCCGTGTGCCGCTGCGCCTGGCTGGCGATCTCCTCGTTCCGCGCATGGATGCGGTTGAGGAGCATCGCGGCAGGTATGTTCGCGCCCGCGCGTTCGTCTCGAGCCCTGCAGAATTGCTCGTCCGCTGTGGCAAATTCGACTTCAATGTCTTCCATCCCTTGCTTTGCCCCCCTCCGCGGCTCCGGCGCGTGATGTGGCATCGGCCGAAGCTCTGCACGTGTGGATCCATGCTGCTCCTCGCGCTCGTCGGGTCCTGCGCGGCGTTCGCGCCGGTGCAGCGCGCCTCCACCGCACCGACGCAGCGCGCGAACCTCGCCGAGCGGACGGCGCCACCGCTTTCCGCCCTCCCGACGCGCCGGCGCGGCGTCGCGCTGCGCGGCGGCGGCGACGACGACGGCGACGACGACGACGCGGCCATGGCGAGCTTCCTCCGGGGCAAGATGGCGGAGGAGAAGGCGGCGCCGAACCCCGTGGCGAATTTCTTCTCGAAGCTCGGCAAGGGCCTCGACGACTTCGTCGACGACGCGATGGACCGGAAGCTCGGCAACGGCGACAAGTTCTACGGCAAGCGCAAGAGCAACTTCTACGGCGCGGGCGACGAGGGCAAGCGGGCCTTCGAGGGCGACAGCTCCGAGGACTACGCGGGGCCGCGGACCGGCGGCTACTTCCAGCTCGACAGCGAGGGCCGGCCCGTGTCGCGCCGAGGCAAGCGCCTCGACTAAGGCGCCGGGATCACAGTTCTATTCGAGGGCCGCGCGAGGGCGCTCTATTCGAGGGCCGCGCGAGGGCGCTCGCTCCCGCGCGCGCGGCGCCGCGGGCCGCTAGAGGTCCCGTTTCCTCCGCGGCTTGAAGAACCGGCAGGGCTGCCGCTGGACGTTGTCCTCGATGGCGCAGTACGTCTCCTGCGCGCGGGCGGCGCGTCGCGGCGGCGCGTCGCGGCGCGCGCGCGGGGCGCGGGCGGCGCGCGTGCATGGTGCTGATCTGCTCGCTCGCCGGGTTCGGGTGCGGTCGCTTCTTCGCCATCTCCGACTCCGGCGTCCCGGCGAGGTAGTCGCGGAAGGCGTCGCAGAGGTACATGTCCGCGTTCGCCGGCTGGTCGCAGAACCTGCGCGCGGGGAAAACGTCCGCGCCGGCCGCGGCGCGGCGCGACGCCGCGGGACCGCGCCAGTGGTGCATGGCGAGCATGTCGACCTCGACCTCCTTCCGCTCGCGCGCCTTGCGCGCCTCCGCCTCCTCGGGCGTCTCGCCCTCGACGGGCGGCGCGCCGGCGCGGGCCAGCAGGCTCACGAGCACGACGGCGGCCGCGCGCCGCATGGCCCTCGACCGCGCGTCCGCGTCGCTTCCGCGGCGTCCGGGCCCCTGCCGCGGGCGAGTGCACCGGACTTTGGTTGCGTTCCGCCGACGGTCGACGGCGAAGATGCGTGAGGAAGGTCTACTTGCTCATAAAATGGTACCAGACGTTGCGAGGCTGCCCCCTATAATATGTTGAAGAGAAATCTATAGCTAGCCGAGTGATGTCCAGCACTTGCCTTCACGAGTGGCTTCACACTCGCTCTCGAGTGCCGCTTGGGCAGCGCGATGATGGCTGCCCGCTGGCTGGCCGTGATCGCGCTCGCGGCCGGATGCGACGCCCTCTTCGCGGCGAAGAGCGAGCCCGTCGTCGAGCTCGACGGCGAGACGCTCGAGGCGGCGCTCGCGGCGGCGCCGGTGGCCGTCGTGTCCTTCGGCGCGCCCTGGTGCGCCCACTGCCGGCGCTTCGAGCCCCAGTTCCTCGAGGCGGCGAGCGCGGTCCGGGACGCGGGCCTCGACGTCCTCTTCGGGTCCCTCGACGCCGCCGAGGACCGGGCCGTCGCCGACGCCTACGGCGTGCGGGGCTACCCGCACGTCAAGTGCTTCCGCTTCGGCCGCTTCGTCGGCGACTACGAGGGCCCCAACGAGGCGGCGCCCCTGGCGCGCTGGGCGAAGCGGCGCGCGCGGCCGGCGGTGAGCGAGCTCGCGGACTGGCCCGGCGCGCGCGACTTCTTCGGCAAGCTGCTCCTCGACGGCGCGCTCGAGGCGCTCGTCAGGGCAGCAAAAGGGTGCGACATGCCCAACTTCAAAGGCTCATATCTCGGCCGTTTTCCACTCGTTTTGGCTGATTTTTGGACGAGCGATCATCTCTCGGAACGGTTTCGAAGCGTGGATGCTTTCTTCGGAACGCGCGCGCGGAACACTCACGTTGAAGCGACGTTGAATCACCCTTTTGCTGCCCAGGCGCTCGTCGTCGGCGTCTTCGCGCGGAACGACTCGGACGCCGCGCGGCGCTTCGCGTCCGTCGCGAACCTCGAGGACGACGAGGACCGCGTCGCCTTTGCGCTGACGACGCGGCCGGACCTCGTCGCCGAGGCCGCGAACCACGACTTCGGCGTCGACGAGTTCGGCGCCTTCGCGGACGCCGTCGTCGTCGTCGAGGCCAACGACGGCGACGACGTGTCCGTGCTCGGCGTCGACGACGCGACGCCGGCGTCGGCCATGGCGGCCTTCGTGGGCGCGCGGCTCACGCCCCTCGTGACGCGCTTCGAGAGCGCGAAGGGCGCCGCGCTCTTCTACGAGCACCGCGGCCCCGCGGTCCACGCGCTGCTCGTCGTCGACGAGAAGTCGAAGCGGGCGCTGGCGGCGACTTCCGCCCTCGCCGACGCCGCGGAGGTCGAGCGGAGCCGCGTGCGCCACGTCGTCGTCCCCGCGGCCGAGGAGCGCGTGCTCAAGCACTTCTCGCTCGACGCGGCCTACGACCTGCCGACGGTGATTTTGTGCGACATGCGCGTCGTCGCGGATCTCGACGTCGACGTCGACGGCGCGCCCCCGTCGCGGGAGGCCATCCTCGGCACGCCGCGGACCTACACCTTCGCGGCCTGGGCCGCGGCCTCCGGCGGCGACAAGTCCGTCTTCGACGCGGACGACCTGCTCGCCTTCGAGGCGGCCATGTTCGCCGGCGAGCTCGAGCCCTGGCTCCGGTCGGAACCCATGATCGGCGGCCCCGGCGACGCGCGCCGGGCCGCGGCGGCCGCGAACGCCGAGGGCCGCGTCGTCGAGCTCTCGGGCAAGTCGTTCGCGGCCGTCGTCGACTTCCACCGCCGGGACCCGGCGAGCGACGCCGACTTCTTCGTCCTCTTCCACGCGCCCTGGTGCGGCCACTGCGCGTCGCTCGCGCCGACCTGGGAGGCCCTCGCGCGGCTCTACGCGCCCGTCGACTCCGTCGTCGTCGCGCGCATGGACGCGACGAAGAACGAGATCGACGACCCCGGCGTCCTCGTCGACGGCTTCCCGACGATCTACCTCTTCCCCGCCGACCGCGACGCCAAGCCCGCGCTCTACGAGCACGCGCACGACCTCGACTCGTTCAGCCGCTTCCTCAAGGAGCGGGGGACGCGGTCCTTCGACGTCGCCGGCCTCAAGGGCGGCGGCGAGTATAGAGAGGAGCTCTAAGAAGAGAAGTAACGGAAATCCCTAGCTTACGAGCGGAGCGCGCGGGGGAGGTCCCGTACGACGACGACTCCGCGCACGACGAGTCGCCGCCGCACTCGTCGGACGGTAATGATTACTGAGTTTGGCCTTCTATGACGCCGCTTATCCAGGGGTTGCTCGCGGGGTACCTCGGCGAACCGAGCCAGGCGGCGGCCGAAGGCCTAACATATCCCGCCGGCGGCCGCGGCCAAGTGCGCCGCGCGGTGCGGCGTAACGCCGAGGTTCGGTCGCGCGCCGAGCCGGGCGTCGGGGACGCGGGGGGAACTTGCAGGTACGTCGTATCCGGGTCGATGCACTGGTCGAAGATCTGGACCTCTTCATCCTCGCACTCGGAGAGTCGACGGTGCTGCGCGGCCTTGGTCACGGAGTCCTCGAGCGACGACGACGCGCGGAACGCCACTACGGCTGCTCCGACACATAGTTTGGATTCGCAACGTTCGCATGGGCATTTATGAATGTGTCCTTTCCAATGCCATAGTGGTCCATAATCGGTTTTAAGCGCCTGTACATGTACTCGGAATCAAACACATCACGTGGGAACGCCAAGGTGATTACTTCCTGGTCTTCATTGGATAAGTAATAAAACATGTGCGCGAGCATGGCATTGTTCTTTTCAAGCATTTGTGTCATATTGTGTGCACCAGCCCAATAACCTCCCCGTTTTTGCGGTGCCTTGGAACGACTCTCGGCCACTTTATGTGGGTCTCTCATAGGTACCACGAACCAACGGAAATATGCATGTTCGTGGGGGTGATTTTTGTGGTAGTTGACATAATGATCGAGATGTGTCATCGCCTCGGGCGCTTTTACAATATCGCGCCCTCGGGCAGGTTTCGCATGTTCTAGTCCCGCGTGGGAACTTGTCAGTTCAGCTTTGGCGACTTCTGTTGCAGAGAATCCAGTTGGAAGACCGAGTGTGGTAAACAAGTTCATTAAAAATGTCGTTCCGGCCCGCCCAGTGCCAGTTACGAGCGTTAATGGTCTTTTGGAATGAGGAGGATCTTTCGAGAACGCGGCGTCGACCTCCGACTGCGGCGCGGCGTCTTTCGCCGCCCACTTCTTCAACCACCCCTCGCTCGCTTCCACCGCCGCCGCGCGCGACTCTGCCGCCGCGAATTGCTCGCGCAGGGCCTCGACCTCCGACGCCTTCGACGGCTCCTTCAAGAAGCGGCTCTTGACGACGGCCTTCGCGGGCGACTCCGCCGACGTCGCGAGCTCGAGGCTCGCCTCCGCCGCCGCGAGGCGCGCGCGGCGGTCCTCGTTCTCGGCGCGCGGGTCGCGGTGCGCCTCGGCGGTAACGATCAGAACCGTACAGAAGCCCTTGCGCCAGTTCATGGTTCACTTTACCTGCGGCGACGCGATCTCGGCGAAGCGGCTCGAGCCGGTCGACGTCGTCGCCGAAATCGCGAGGCTCGGGGGCTCCGAGGCGCGCGTCGGGCGATGCACTCTGAGGGGGGCGGGCAACGCGAATCAACCCCTAAAACGGCGCAAGAGCGCGCGCAAAGCCCGCGCCGGCGCGCGGTGTTGTGCGCCGAGGACCTGTGTAGAATTCGCCGATTTCCCACTTGGCTTTCCCCTATTTTTTTACGCCGAGCGGTTCCGGAGGTCGATGACGCAGACGCCGATGTTGTCCTGGGACTGGCGGACGAGCGCCTCGTGCGTGAGCGCCGTCGCCGCGTCCTGGTAGCGGCTCGGGCTGGCGGCCGCCGCCGCGAGCCGCGCCCGCACGAAGCGGACGGCCTCGTCGGACGACGTCGTGTCCCAGAGGCCGTCGGTCGCGAGGATGAGGAACTCGTAGGCCGCGCTCTCGGCGACGAAGACGTGGGGCTCCGGCACGAGGTACTTGGCGAGGTCGCGGTTGCCGATGGACCGCGTGACGACGACGCGGCCCTCGACGCGCGGCACGGCGCCGGAGGCGTCGACGGCGCCGCCGAGGGCGACGATGCGCGCCGCCTCGGCCGCGTCCGCGGCGACGTGGTCGTAGGACGCGTCCACGGCGCGGCCGTCGGCGCCGCAGCCTGTGTGCAAATCAACCAGTGAGCTGGGACGTCGGGGCCAAACTTCAGAATTCTCTAGCTCGGTCAAATCGAAGTCGATTCGGCTGATTTTTGGACGAATCGATTGCTCTCAGCAAGTTCTCGAAGCACGGCGGAAGTTCTCGTGTCAAAACATTCGAATACGCGCACATTGAAGTCGGGTTGAAGATTTGATTTGCACACGGGCGGCAGCAGAGCACGGCGCGCGAGTCGCCGACGTTCGCGACGAGGAGCGCGCCGTTGTCGGCGACGGCGGCGACCGTCGCCGTCGTGCCCGACCGCCGCCGCGTGCCGAGCCGGTCGCGGCCCAGCGCCGCGAAGCCCGCGTCCGCCGCGCGGAACGCGGCCGCGACGTCCGCCGCGCGCGGCCGCCGGAGGTCGGCTTTCTCCTCGAGGAGCCGCGGCAGCGCGTGCGCCGCGTAGCGCGCGGCCTCGCGGCCCTCGTGGCCGTCGAAGACGCCCCAGAGCGTGAAGTTCTCGCGGTACGCGACCGCGTAGTGGTCCTCGATGGTCTCGCGGCGGCCCCGGACGTCGCAGAAGCCGGACCGCGGGTCGTCGGGGAGCAGCGCGTGCGTGGACAGGCAGCCCGGGAGGGTCGACGCGTCGTAGACGCAGAAGGCGCCGGGCCGCTTCGCCGCGGCGTAGACGCGGCAGCTCTCCCAGACCCCGAAGGAGCGCCGGTGGCCCGGCACGCGGTACTCCCGCGCGTCGAGCGCGACCGCGGCGTCGCCCGCGAGCGCGCGCGCCTGGTCCCGGCGGAAGAAGGCGTGGGACGCCAGCGCGTCCGCGGGGAGGAGCCGGTCCCGCGGGTCGTGGGCCAGCAGGCGCCGCAGCAGGTCGACGCCGTCGACGCCGAGGAACCGGTCGTAGCCGATCTCGAGCGGGTCGCGCCGCTGGAGCTCGCCCGCGAAGTCGTCGTCGCCGCAGGCGGCGACGCCGGGGAAGATACAGAGGTCCGCGAGCGCCGCGCGGAGCAGCGCGCGCTCGACGTCCGCGGGCGCCTCGCGCCGAAGCCGCCAGCTCAGCACCGCGCGCGTCCGCTGGTCCACGGTCAGCGCCTGCCGCGTGCCCAGCAGGAGCTCGAGCAGGAGCACGCCGAGGCTCCAGGCGTCGTAGGCCGGCGCCGGCGCGTAGAAGGTGTCCTCGTCGGCGAAGAGGACCTCGGGCGGCATGTACTCGACGGTCTCCTCCTCGCGCGACGGCCCGAAATCGCCGAAGAGCCCCGCGGCCTCCGCGGCCGGCGACCACGCGCTCGACAGGTCGATGACCGCGACGCGGAGCGCGCCGTCGTCGCCGAGCGCGACGGCGACGTTCGAGAGCTTGAGGTCGCGGTGGACGACGCCGCGGCCGTGGAGCTCCGCGGCGCCCGCGAGGAGTTTTCGCGCGAGGTCGCGGAACCACGCGGGCCCTTCCGCGCTCCGCCGGAGCGCGCGCCACGACTCCGACGGCTCGAGGAGGCCCGACGACGTCGGCGAGAACGCGTAGTCGTGGAGCGTGACGCCCGCGTCCTCGAAGACGAGCCAGAGGTCGCCGCCGTCGCGGAAGCGCTCGACGAAGCCCGCGACGCCGCGCGCGCCCCGGAGCGCCTCGCCGAAGAAGACCTCGCGCGCCGCGGCCTCGCGGACGTGGCCGCCCTTCTCGAGGAACATGCGCTTGAGCACGAACGCGCCGCCCGTCGCCGCGTGCTCGCCGCGCCAGACCTCGCCGTGCGCGCCCCGGTTCACGCGGCGCGTGAACCGCCAGCGGAACGACGACCCCGCGACGACCGCGCCGCCGCCCGCGGCCTCGGGCGGCGGCGGCGGCGGCAGCGCCTTCGTCGGGTGCGGCAGCGCCGCCGTGAAGTGCGCGACGCCCGCGAGCGGCGCCTCGAGGCGCTGCGACCCGGCCGCGCGCTCGAGCTCGCGGAGCACGTAGCCGCCGACGACGGCGCCCGGCGCGACGGGCGGCGCGCCGAGGCGCGGCACGGCCTCCGCGTCCCCGCGGGCGGCGCCCGCGAGCGCCTCGGCGGGCCGCGCGCCGCCGCCGCCGCCGCCGACGGCGTCGCCGCCGCGGAGGTGCCGCACGTAGGCCGCGAGGAACGAGCACGAGATGAGGAGCGCCAGCACCGCGAGCCAGGCGACGAGCGCCTGCCGCGTCTCCGCGGCCGCGCGGCGCCGCCGCGGCGACATCTTGCCCAGGGCCGCGCCGTCCTGCGACGCGGACCGCGCGCGCGGCGCGCGCCGCGGCGGCGTCGTCGCCGCCGCGTCGACGCTCAGCTCGACGCCGTCGACGTCGATGCGCCGTCGATGCATCGCGACCGCTCCAGCGCGCTGTGTCGCGGTTGCAAGCTAGCGCATCGTGCCGCTACGGTGCTGTGACGCAGTTGCAAGAGGTTGTAGAGGCTCGAGCCATGCTCTGCTGTTCTCGCGTCAAGGTTTTGGAGTGCGCCGACAGTGCCGTGTGATCGTGGACAGCTAGCTCGTCCCGCCGCGAGCCCGCTCCTCCCAGGGCTCGTTACTTCCGCTTCTTCGGCGTCTTGGACTCGAGGAGGAGGACGGCGTCCTGGGCCGGCGGCGGCGCCTCCTCGTCGTCCTCGGTGTCGGAGTCGACGACGAGCGTCGCGTCGTCGGCGTCGGACCCGGCCGCGGCATCGCCGTCGCCGTCGCCCGCGGCGCCTCGGGCGTCGAGCGGCGGGTCCCGCCCCTGGCGCGCGATCGCCGACGCGAGCGCGACGACGGCGAGGCCGAGGCCCCAGGCGCGGAACGGCGGCGCCGGGCGCGGCGGCGCCGGCGCCGCGAGCCGGAGGAACGGCCGCGGGAATTCCACGCGCGGCGGCCTGTGTGGAATTCAAATCTTCAACCCGACTTCAATGTGAGCGTATGCGACAGTTTCGACGCAAGCTCTTCGGCTGTGCTTCGAGAACTCGACGAGAGCGATCGATTCGTCCAAAAATCAGCCGAATCGACTTCGATTTGGCCGAGATAGAGAGGTTTGAAGTTTTGCTGGACGCGTCCATTCCACTGGTTGATTTCCACACAGGCGGCGGCCGCGGCGGGTCGGCGGCGAAGGGCGCCGCGCAGCCGGCGAAGGCGCCCGGCGGCGGCGCGGACGTCGAGAGCGCCGCGACCGCGTCGCCGGGCGCCGCGCCCGCGGGCCAGGCCTGGGCAGGAAAAGGGTTCGAAATTCCCAACGTCAAAGGCTCCGAGCTCGGTCGTTTTCCGCTCGTTTCGGCTGATTTTTGGACGAGCGATCATCTCTCGGAGCGGTCTCGAAGCGTGGGTGCTGTTTCCGAAACGCGCGCGCGCGGAACACTCACGTTGAAGCGACGTTGAATCACCCTTTTGCTGCCCAGGGCCAGGCGTCGCGGCCGAGGGCCCCGGCGACCGCGGGCGCGGGCGCGCCGCCGACGACCAGGGTGACGGCGAAGG